TGTACCTTTTATTGCTTAGCGTGACAACGGAAGTTACGCAATCATGCAGGTTACCTATTACGCGTTAATCAGTTACACCAGTGTTGTGCATAATTTAATGTAACTGATGTAGATTGTAGTAAACAAGACTGTTCTATGTATACAAATTTATAAACAATTATTGGTTGATTGAATCTCTCTTTTCTCCATTCAGACATAGCCATTGACCATGCTGAATGTCAAAATAGAACATAGTTCTAAAGGAACATAGGTCCCAAAGTTGGCTTTAGAAGTGAGGTTTAGCACAATGAAATCAATTTGCCTTGCTCTCTTTTCTCCTTTGGAATGTGAAGCCCAATGTTGAGAGGCAGGACCCATTTTGCTACTAATTCTGGTGGACAGTCATTGCCAATGAAAAATAATGTAAGTTGGAAAGAGTCATTGTCTCTTGTTGGTTTCTTCCAGAAAAGTTGCTGAATGTGGGTGGGCCAGGTTTGGATGGAATAGAAGACATCTGTATTAAGTGAGTGGAAAAGTTGCAGGCATTCATTAGTAATATGTTGTCTTGATTGGTGCCATATGCAGGTGTTAAAAAGCTGTAAAGTTGGGATGTGATCTAGTTCCATAAGAGGTTAAGTTATTGTAGCTGTAGAAAAGGTAAAAAGGTATTAACAGGTAGGGTAAGGAAATTCTAGCCTAGGGTTAACTTTGCTTGAAGGTCATGGTAAACATTCTCTTCATGTTAGGTATTTTTTTGTTTAGTTTTAGGTCTGAGGGTTGGTCAGAAAATTTTCTGTTTAGTTGGGACAAAAAAATATCTTGGGTTAGGATAAGGGTTTGGGAGAAGGGTAAATTGATTTCTTAAGGTTAGTTTCAGGTGAGGGCTAAGAAAAAATCCTCTTTGCAGTTAGTTGAGGGCCAAAGGGTTGGGTAGAAAATTCCCTTGGGATTAGTTTTAAATTTAAAGGAATTGTAAGACATTAAAGCAAAAATTCTCCTTGGGACTATGTATTATAAGCTTAGAAATTTGGGTAAGATTGTGTGAAGGGGGTGGGGAAATGATAAAGGAGGTATGTGAAGGGAAACAAAAATTATTGGGTTTGGGTTACGTCGTTTACGGGTCAGGGAATTGTTTATAAGGGAAAATATGGTAGAAGGGATAACTGTATAGAAAGAAAGGAAACAATATCATTTCTATTTTCATTCTTAAATGTTGGTTGCAGGAAATGTGATGATATTTGCCTGGGCATATAAATAGAAAAGAACTATTTTTCATTTCAATTTTTGTTCTTAAATGTAGGTTGCAGTAAATGTAATAATGTTTGTTTGGGAATATATTGAAAAAGGGGCCAAGGTAAAATTCCGTTTATGGTTAGTTTGTTGATAAGGGATTGAGGGTGGGGTAGGGGTTGGGTTATCTGTCTTGTGGGGGTCTGGGACTGGTTTCAAAAGTAAATATTGTAGAGGGGGGATAAAAAATATTAAGATCTTTTTCGTACTATAAGTAAAA